CGCATAGCTGTATGCATCTCTGCACTTACATACATTCGCGATGCGAAAGAGTGCATAACATAAGCATTTATAGAGGCCACCGAGCAATGCGGCAGCGAGAGTGCGACAGATAATTTTTGTTGTTGCGCGTTTCTGGCAGTGCCAGTTGCCATTTACCGTTAACACGTTAACGTTAACCGTTTCTTTTTGCCTGCACTTGGCAATGCGTTTCCTTACTTCTTGATATCTTTTATATATAAATATTAAAAAAAATGCTTTTGCTGGCTTTTGCAGTCAGCCTGTTGTTTGTTCTTGTTGCTGTGTGTTTTTTTTTTTTTGGGTTCTGCCTGTCATTATGTTCGGCTGCGCAGCGTCTACGTTGTGCACATGAAATTTTATGACGAGTATTTCGCTTATTGTGCGCAGTTGACGTAGCCATTCCAGATAGCGAAAACGCTGACAGACAACGACAACAGCAACAACAAGCAGCGAGAATACCAACATACAAAGCTGCATTCGCAAAATAAGCAAACAATTCCATGCCCTTCACCCAAGGCATGCGTCGTCGACTGCAGGTGTTATGCAAATACATACATACACAAATATATATTTACTAGCTGGCCCGGCAAACGTTGCATTGCCCTCTATATTATTTCTAGGTAAAAAATTGTTGAAAGCTATGTTGTTCAGGCTGGGATACACTGATAAATTTATTAATCGGATTTTCATTCAAGCACCTTGTTGTAAACGACATTCTTCGTTTTTTGGTCGGGTGCAAGAACAAATAATGCGGATCGTTTGCCAACACGTGAGCATGCCACGTACAATTGACCATGAGAAAAACACGCATTTTCTAGATTGAGGCCACAAATAGTCAAAGATTGGCCCTGTGACTTGTTGATCGTCATGGCGAAGGCAAGACGAAGCGGGAATTGAATTCGTTTAAATTCAAAGGGCATATCTGTTGAGCTCATCGGAATCCTAGGAATAAGAACTTCCTCATCTTTAAATTTTCCTTTGAGTATCAACGCGTGAATCACATTGCTCATCAGTTTTCTTATCACCAAACGCGTTCCATTGCACAGTTTTGGTTGGTTTAAATTTCTAAGCATGCAAATCATGGAGAATTGCTCTTTTCATAGCTGTGTTCATTTCTTGACGCCGGTCAAGTTGTTCTTCCATATTGCCCATGAAGTATATTTGCAAGAATTTTTGCTGTGCATCTTCAATAGGTTGCAATGATCCAATGCGATGGCAAATCTGGCCTTGAATCTTTAAATTCAAAGCCATAGTTATAGTTATATTTACAAACACTATTTACAGAAATCTAACAAACTACATTATTCAAAATTTTTTTTTGGCAGTCATAGAAAATAAAATTTTTAACGTAAATTACCTTAAATATCCGTCTCCAATATTTTCCGCCCCAAATTATGTCATTTGGAAACAGGCATTGTATTTTTGAGTGTTCGCTAGAAAATGTCGTGATTCTAGTGTTTCGCCATAAAGCAGGGAACGCAATGGCTATGGTGACCGCTAATGGCAATGTCACTTTACCACTAAGGCAGCACAAACCGGGCGTTTCACCAGCAAACTTCAATGCGCCACAATGCTAGCAAACAACGTCCATTGGACCAATGCAAACTAAACGATTCAAGCTGTAATCAATGGTGCAATCATATCGAAACGCTGCTCGATTCAAATCAATCCTTGAACCATTTCTTATTGCCATTTCACGGGCTGCCTCTCTTTGAGAAGCACGAATTAAGGCCCTTCTTCCCTGGGTACTAACGCGGAGCCTTTCTCGGGCGATTTCTCGCTCTTCGTCAGATAATTGACTCGCGCTATTCCGTTGCCTAATTGCATTATGGGTCCGCCGGGAAAGATTAGATCTTCTAGGACGCGGCATTTTTATTAATAGTAATACTGCCCTCGCACAAAACCATATAAAACAATCGAGAAATATAAATATAAATAATTTACACAAATTTATGTTTGAGACAAACAAATACCTGAACTTTCGAGATATTTAGCTTTTGTAAAAGTCCAAAAATACAATTTTTAATAATTAACTTTTTTTTTTT